AGTCCAGGACATTTCAGTTGGGAACAACTGTTCAGTGAACAACAGAACAAATGACGCTGCTGAAGACTTGCTACCTGAAGAAGCCATCGTCGAAGAAGAAACTCTACTCAGTTTTGAGAAGGGAAATGGTGAAGCTCTTGATGAAGTTACTACCACTGATGTGACTGTTACCGATGATAGGACATTTACTGATGAAGCAGATGAACCCCAGATGAAGCAGAAGCCAACGGGACGGAGACCAGTACGGAAGAAGATACGTCCCATAAAATTAAGAGACTTTGTTGAATTGTAATTTTGTGTTTGTAATCCTGTACAGTTAATTAAGTTATTGTTAATTGTTATTGGTTTATTGTATGTGGTTATTGTTCGGGACAAACAATACTAAGGAGGGGGCAGTGTTGTGTCATCGAGGTCACGTGACTGGTGTGGCGCCACCTATTTTCTAGAACTATCCTATACCTTGGCGAATGCTCTAGTATTTACTAGATATAGGGTAGTCTGGTATATAAAAGAGGGTGACAACGTGACGGGATAATAATGTGTGTGAGTAATTGAACTGCAGTCAGAAGTATTGTTGACGTTCGTTATAGAGCGATTGTTGAAAATAAGTGTATCGTAAAGTTGTATTCGGAAAGAATAAACCAGTTTTATTAAGTAAAGACTTGTGTCGCTAAAGTTTCGTTGGAACGAAGTTACGGAAAGTTAATTAACAAACGGAAACGTAACATTACAATAGAAAGATTAATTTCACAGGCTTATTTAATATTTTGCATAAATTTGGCATGATAGTTAGTCTTAAATGAATTCACTGCTTTCAAAATCCAAAATATAATAACTAAAACTTCTCCACTCAAGTTGATTTTCTCATAGAAGTGAGAAATGATAGTATACTTGAGGTAATATACCGTATTGGAAGTTATAATTTTCCTACACTAAAAATGTATTTCCGATAGGTACTTACCTCTTCTCGCCCTTCCTCCTCACTGAAAACTGGTGTTTCCATCTTCTACCAAAACTTGAAGTAATAGAATGGAACAGATGGAGTCACATGCATCATGAGAATATGTCACACTCTTGTTGGTGGAGAGAGACACATGATGATTTGCATGAGAGACGCATTGGAATCAATCAATTCCAATGGAGGGAAAATAGAAGACTTGTGGCATGTAATAACAAATTTTGCATATAGAAGGCAGCACTGAATGAGAATAGCTATTTATGTGAGTGGAGGTAAATACCTATCAAAAATACAATTTCAGTATAAGAAAATTATAACTTTTGTGACAATTTGTCAGAGGAATGCACGCTACTGTTCACTGGCATAAAGCAATCCTATGAAGCCTGTCTCTGAATGCATTTCTGTGCTTGCTTGTTGATTTTGCTCTTAAATACTTATTCAGTTGGGAAGATTAAGCATGCCAGTTGTGTTCAGCCAATATTATCAAATAGCAGTCATCTTGTGAGGTTGCCAATAGTAGTCTACACCTTCGAAATTTCTGGCCAACTGGAACAAATTTATGATCTCATGACTTGATATATTTGACCAGTTTATAGCTGACCTTATGCTCTGGAAATTCTTAAATGTATTTCTTTTTAGGAAGTTCTGGCATGTTTCACTATCAATCTATATCTCTCTATAAGCACTACAATTGTCCAAACTCATACTAGAGAATACACTGTATTTCTTTCACTTTTATATTGAAAATTAACTCACAAGTGCCATTCACATTACTTAATAACACTAGTTTGATGGTCATAGCTAAAACATAAAAAAAAATATGATTATCTCTTAATTGTTGCAAGTAATATATACATACATATATATACATGTATGGATGCATATTTATGAAGTATGCTGTAATGTATGTTTATTTTTTATGTTTGAATACTAAACTCAATATTCAATAGAGTAGGTGATAAAATTTCACCAATGATATAATTTGTTTATTTGCAGAGCAACAGCTGAAGATTGTATTGAGAGTTCATATTTTAAAGAACCTCCTTTACGTAAGTATAATTCATGTTTAACACAATAGTGTTCTAATGGATTGCCACTTAATCAATATATAATGTATTTAACAGTTTAAATATATTTAATAATGTGAAATGATTTGGTGTTTCTGTGATCAGTGTAACATAGAGCACATTATGATGATGATGTTTTGGTAAACTAATTTTGTGATAAATGTACATATAGCAAGTTATTCTACCTAATATGATGCCTGTATACATTGTGCATGTGCTACAAGAGACTAAGAGCATATTTCTGGTGGCTGAAAAATAAATGAATCTCGTTATTTTTAAAAATTAGAATTATTCTTTTTAAACCTCAAATTACCAACCTATTTTTACACTATTCTCTACCAGTAGGGTCCACATATTGCATCATATTAAGTAATGGTATATTCTTGCCTGTTAGCCACTCAGTATACAGAACTGTTGCGTCATCGAGATCATGTGATTCTCACGCTCTCTACATTCTAGAATTATCCTGTACTTTGGCGAATGCTCTAGTATTTACTAGATATAGGGCAGTCGGGTATATAAAAGAGGGGAATGTAATGTGTGGATAGACAGTGAGTAATTGATCTGCAGTCAGAAGTATTATTGATAACGTTCGTTGTTATAGCGTTTGTTTAGCGCGATTGTTGAAGTTGAGTGTATCGGTAAAGTTATATTCGGAAAGAATAAACCAGTTTTATTAAGAAAGGACTTGTGTCGCTTAAGTTTCGTCGGAACGAAGTTACGAAAAATCAATTAACAAGTGGAGACGTAACAAATTGGTGTCAGAGAGTGGGACAAAAAAAAAATGGAAACGGGAAGCGGCAAATCAAACTACAGCATAGCAGACTTGATGGCTGCAATACAAGAACAGCAAAAGAAACAAGAAGAACGAGAAAAAAAAACAAAAAGAACGAGAAGAAAAATTACAACAGTTGTTAGAGGAAAAAGAAAAGAAACAAGAAGAACGAGAAGAAAAATTACAACAGTTGTTAGAGGAAAAAGAAAAGAAACAAGAAGAACGAGAAGAAAAATTACAACAGTTGTTAGAGGAAAAAGAAAAGAAA